GGGGGCAGTTACAAGGAAAAAGAAAGTTACAAGGGGTTATCAAGCCACAAACATTTTTAACATTTATCTCTAACCTAATATTAATCTCTAGCCTAACATTATTCTCTAACCTCCTGGAACTAAGACGTACTTTTTAACATTAGCAAGTCTGTTTGTTAGCATTCTGGGGAATGATGGAGTCCATTTTCTGCAAGTTCACCTTTCCCTCTTATCAAAAGGTAACAAGTTATATCTTTTATACAAAGAGTCTGCAGAAAGGGGCAAAGGTTTCAGTGAGTGAATAAAGTCTGATTTGAAAGAATTAGTAAATTAGATTAAGACTTGGTTAATTGACTTTTACCTCATCCTGGTTACAAAGCTATGAGACAATTGCAGGGCTTCATCTTAACATTATCAATCCTATTTTCTAACCTTATGTTGACCAAAGTAATTTTTTCCCAAGGACAAGCTGCATAAACATTCTTGACAAATACCTTTTAACAAAAAATTCCTAGCACAAGCTAAAAAAAATCCTGACCCTTACTCCTTTTGTGGTATTAGCCATTAAACTTTGACAAGAAGCTGAATTGCCTCTTCAGAGTAGCAATGAAGTTTTCAGGCCTAGCTACAGCTTGATTAAAACATAGAGTCTTTTTTAGATTTAGGCCAGCTATTTTTTTACTCATGGCAAGAACCTCGAGTTTTGGGGTCCACATACACCTCCATACACAGGCTATAAAGTATTCAAAGCCCTCTACTTGTCCTTTTCTGTCTACTTTTTTGTGTCTGGATTTTACTCCAAACAACACTGCTTTATAATGCTTCCACCTCCTTTATGGCTTTGCTGTGTACTGGGAAATAAACGTCCACACTTCAAATCTATGCTACTTTTCTTTATGCAACATTCTATTAAAACCTGCCTCTGTCTAAATACAGTGAGTCTGTACTCCAGCTCCACCCAATGCCCTCATCATAGTCGAAACACTGTGATCTCTTTTGGTATGGAAAACATTGCATTAATACAGCCAACATTTGTTTATTTACAGTCACAGTCTTTATTATATGGTAAAGAAATGATATTTGATTTGGTAACACTGTGTTTATAAATTTGTTTTCTTTTAATTTTGCAGAGCCATAGATTTCTGTGCGTGCTCAAATACTGATAAGAAACTGCCCCAGTTTAATTTTCTTTCAATACAAAAGGCAAAGGCAAGTTAAATTATTCATCATCATAGGAGAATCTAATAGGTGTTTTAAAATATTTGGCTATTTTTCAAAAAAGCAATGTATTTTGTAAACATAAAAAGAGCATTAAATATTCATAGGCTATTCACTGTTAAATGAAAACAAACTAGTTTGTGTTCTTTGTGTACCCCCTGACAAGAAGATGTTAATATGAATTCCTTTTTCTAGCTCTATGGACAAAGAACTCTACTTGGCCTTTGTCTTTGGTTTCCTGAAAGATAGCCCTTGGACTTTCTTGAGCAATCAGGGTGGCTAGGCAACGCTTAAACTTGTGCAAATGAGTTGGGAGCCCCCAAGACCACACCTGGTAACTAACCTTAGGAAGGGAGGGGGCATGATACAATCGATCATGCATATTCATTGATTCCATAGATTGTGACTATACATTGAGGCCCCAATCATAAGTAAGCAATGTTATAAGAGGCCCTGAACATGTAAGTAATCGGGCTTCCCGGATTGGCAAGATCATCCATGCAAGGAAGATGATGGCACATCCCTGGGGATAATGGAGACCCTATGTTGGGACTCCTACTGAACCTTGCCTGATCTGTCTCTTTGTTCATATCCTTTCCGGTTATAATAAATGGGTAACTGTAAGTACAGGTTAGTCTCCATGAATTTTGTGAATGTAGAGAATTAAGGAACCTACAGGGACAGGCGGTACGCAGCAGGTCAGAAGTATGGGTGCTGTGTGGACTCTCCAGGCTTGTGGCTGATGTCTTGAAGGGGTAGTGGGGAACTGTTGCTGGGTGGAAACCCCAGGTTTTGCTTGGCACAACTCGTCTCAGCCAATAAACAAAAGGCCAAGGTAGGAGATTAGAAAGGTGCTTTTATCTCGTTGCACAAGGAAAGGAACAGTTCGGGTTGCTGCCTCCAAGACTGCTCAGAGAGGGCAAGACAGAAAGTTACTTTTATGGGGCTACAGGCAGGAATTTCATACAAGTTACATAAGCAACATTCTTAATCATACTATGCAGGAGCAATGGGGTTTACATATAACTTCATGCATCGTGTGTTCAGAACATGATGGTTAAACTCCATCCAGAGGGAGGAAGTTACTATGCATGAGGTACTTAATAAGCTAAAAGGTTATCCAGAATGTTAACATGGTGCCTAAACCGGCTTCCGCCAATTTCTTCTAGTTCTGGGCAGTAGTTAAGGAAAGGGGAACCAGGATGTTAATGTAAAGCTATGGAGGTGCAAAGCAAGTTGTTTGAGGCAGTGGAATTTTCCACAGCCTGGGGACCTCTGTCTTACAACCAACCCTGAATCTGTGGTCAACAGGGCAGAAGGTTGGGGCATAGTGTGGACTTCTAATCCTTGCAGCTGGCATCTGGAAAGGGTAGTGGGAAACTAGCCCCTAATCTGTGGCCAGCAG